TTATTTTATTCACTACAATATATTTTCAGCAATTTCTGTTCCTGATATTACATTTACTACTACTACTGGTAGATCACTGGGAGAGAGTTTAATACTAAACTGTACAGTTGATGTACATGACTTATACAATATTAGTGCTAATATCAGTATAGTAAGAAATGGAGAACTTATTACTAGTGCTACTGGATCTGGTGATACTACAGCAATGATTATGATTGATTCATTAAGGTCATCTGATGCTGGAGACTATCAATGTATTGTTAATGTTACTCAATCTGGCACATACTATGAATTTAACGGAACAGAATCTGCCCAAGTGATACTTACATGTATGTTAATTGGAATAATTCATATCATGTTTTATTTATTCATTATTTCAATAGTACCAACTCCTATTGTTATTGTTGAGTATAATGTTACTGCACATTTAGTAGATGGAGAACTAGCAGAAGGACAGTTTCTTGATATTATGTGTATAGCTGACATCAGTCAATATATTGATACTAGTGTTAGTGTTACTATGAGTTGGAGGAGAAATAACACTGTACTGACCAATGGAAGGGATTTTACTATCAGTCCTCCAGTTATAACTAATAATGAGTACACTGGTGTGTTACGTATTAATAGTTTAAGAGATGAAGTTGATAATGGTGCTAGTTATAATTGTTCAGTTAGTGTGACTCCTAATACTCCTTTTATAATAGCAGGAAATGATAATAGCAGTGCAGTTACATTATCTGTATCAAGTAAGTGAATTAATTTATATTTTACCACATCTACATTGTATTTTGATAGGGTTTGATATCAATCATGTTGATATAAGTATCAATATTCCTTCTGTTCCTGTTGCTGGTGATGTATTCAATTTATCTTGTGTCATAGTTGTACCTCCTAATTTTGTTGAGAATCTTACTAGTGTCAGATGGACTTATGATTTAGAAGCATCTCAAGATGTGACTAGTGAAAACAATGATGCTACACTAGTACCTGTTGTTAGAAATGGAAATATATTCACCAGTGTACTTACACTTGATCCAGTGAAGACAACTGATGCTAGACAATATTACTGTCAAGCAACAATTCTAGTATTTGGCACTGTAGATCGTACTAACAGAGATTTAACTGTTCAAAGTTAGTTTTAACCATTAGACTATTAGAATTATTTTGAAATAATTCTTTTATAGTATCTCCTCCCAGTGTATCAATAGTTGCTAATCCTCCAACTGGTCCAATATATGAGAGTACAAGTTACTTACTAACCTGTCAGCTACAGTAAACACTACAATAGTGGATACTCCAGTAACTGGTAGTGTAGTATGGACTGATCCTAGTGGTAATGTAATACCAACTAATGAAGCAAGACGTCAAGTGATACCTCCAACTGGTAACAGTCTTGTAAGCATGCTATTGTTTAAACCTATTGATACTGGTTATAATAATGATGGAGGAACATATACCTGTCAAATGATCATCAATTCTGGTAACTCATTAATAGCATCAAGTCAACCTACTGATACTACCCTTCCTGTTACTGTTGAAAGTAAAATAGAGAATACTTATTAATTATTATACATGTAAATCTCTTAATCTTCCTTTTTTGTTTATCATTTTTGCATTCTCCACCAGGTCTTCCTCCAATGACAGCAGATTTCTCATCAGTTGGTTCAGTTGAAGTTGGTCAGAGTCTAACTATAACATGTACCATAACAACAGTTGAGAGATTAGTAGTAACACCATTAATTACTTTCATTAAAACGAATGATACAGATATGGAAATGCTCTCTAACTTAAATAGACCATACAGTATCACAACAGATGATACTGGTTCAGTTACTAACTATACTCTAATATTGGATCCAGTGAGGTTTGAAGATGCTGGAATGTATACATGTATGGCTGAGTTTAATGTAACTGGTTTTAATAATACCAATGATCCTAGCACTGCTACTTATGATTATCGAGAGGATAGTAATACCTTTAATCTATTGATAACATGTAAGTTAGTAACAGGAATTAACTATCAAAATAATAATCAAAATTATGATTATTTTTATAGTACCTCCTCCCAGTATATCAATAGTTGCTGATCCTCCAACTGGTCCAATATATGAGAGTACAAGTTACTTACTAACCTGTACAGCTACAGTAAACACTACAATAGTGAATACACCAGTAACTGCTAGTGTAGTATGGACTGATCCTAGTGGTAATGTCATACCAACTAATGAAGCAAGACGTCAAGTGATACCTATAACTGGTAACAGTCTTGTAAGCATGCTATTGTTTCAACCTATTGATACTGGTCGTAATAATGATGGAGGAACATATACCTGTCAAATGATCATCAATTCTAATAACTCATTTATAGCATCAAGTCAACCTACTAATGCTACCCTTCCTGTTACTGTTGAAAGTAAGTTATTCCATATCTTTTGTCACTTTTTTTCTTTTTATCATTTCATTGATCACCAGGTCTTCCTCCAATGACAGTAGATTTCCCATCAGTTGGTTCAGTTGAAGTTGGTCAGAGTCTAACTATAACATGTACCATAACAACAGTTGAGAGATTAGTAGTAACACCAATGATTACTTTCACCAAAATGAATGATACAGATATGGAAATGCTCTCTAACTTAAATAGACCATGCAGTATCACAACAGATGATACTGGTTCAGTTACTAACTATACTCTAGTACTGGATCCAGTGAGGTTTGAAGATGCTGGAATGTATACATGTATGGCTGAGTTTAATGTAACTGGTTTTAATAATACCAATGATCCTAGCACTGCTACTTATGACTATCAAGAGGATAGTGATGTCTTTAATTTGATTGTTGACTGTGAGTTATAAATATTCTAAATTTAAATAGCTAATTTTTAAAATTTAGACTTAAAATATTTATCATTTAATATTTTTTTACAGTTCCACCAGTAATTGTTGCTATATCAAAGGAACATGATGATACATTATATGCAGGGACACCATTCTTCATTAAATGTGACATAATGTTGAACCCATTAGTTACTATACCAGTGACTGTCACTAATCAATGGACACGTGATGGCACTAATGTTCCTATGGGTTCATCTGATGCTACTATTACTGAGGGTCTCAATATGATCAATACATTACATTATAATGCAACATTAATGTTCTATCCATTGGATAATGCTAATGACACTGGAATGTATACTTGTAATGTTCAAGTGACTGCTCCTAATAGTTACATGTATCTCAGGAATACGTCAGCTATTGCAAATACCTTTATTACAATTCTTGGTAAGTAATGCATGTAGAGAAGCATCAATGTGAGATAAACCATTGCATATAAGCCCTTCTGAAATTGGGACATTTCTAGATGTGTATGCATTAGAAACAAGTACATTTGTCTCATATCGTATAGGGGGTACATTTTCTGGAGAAAATATTTCACAAAAATCACCTTTCAACCTAGTCGCAAGAAAAATTTTTTTGCTTTTTTCTTCTATTGACCATTATTAGTATGATGAAAAATAATTTTCATAGATAAAAATTTTCACAAATTTTTAAAAACAGTCAAATTAGTGAAATTTAATCCCCGTGAAAATATACCCCCCTATACAGTAGTGTTGAGTTTAAAAAGCTAGGCTGGGAATATATTCACCAGTAAAATTACAATTATCTTAAGGTTACTTTTAAATGCGGGTACTATTAATTGCGAATTTTGCGTTTGGGTTAAAAATTGCAATTATTAATACTCACAATTATTAATAATGACATCATGATGCCATATAACTATTAGTAATAATTACTTAATCGCAATTTTTAATACCAGCAAAATCTACCTTGTGCTAAAATCGCAAAATTTAGTACCTGCAATTAAAAGTCACTTTAAGGTAAATTGGGCCAAACTAAAGGAGAATTTTGAATTTTTATATTTCTTTCTGATGCATCTACATGTAATTATTTTGTGTAGAGATCTGATCAAGTTTATATTTTTGACAAATTTTTAAATTTGGGCCAAAAGCAAAATTTGTCAAAAATGAAAATGTGAAAATTCTTTACTTTAAAATTTTTATTGCATATACATGTACTTATGTTGTGTAGAAAGTTTGGGCTGATTCAGATCAAGTTTGAATTTTTTACGAATTTTTAAAGTTGCTCAAAAATTGGGTTGAAGTCCAATGCCATGTCTACTGTATTTTAGTGCTTATAAGCTCATGAAGCTCATGTTGTTTAGCTCACTTAGCATGCTTTGTGGGAAACCCTAACTTGTATAGATCCAATCATGTAGTAATACATGTATTTGAGTTTATTAATTTTTGAGTGTGCATCATTTTAATGTTTGTTCTTTATTACAAATATACTTTGTTATTTTATAATAGACCCAATGATTAGGAATTTCTCATCCTATCCCAACTCATTTCTGGGTCTGGAGACATCATGTCCAGATTCAGACCCATATGATAACTTCACTCTTACCTGTACAGCCACTAAACCAACCATAGTAATACCAAACCTGGTAATAGCATGGATACATAATGGTACAATAGAAACTGGTACTGTGACTACTACTGGAGGGAATATGACTACCACTGTTACTAATACATTGAGTTACAACACCAGTAGGCCTTCTGATTCTGGTACTTATAAATGTACTGCTAGTATTAATTCAGCTACAATCATGACTAGTAATGAAACAACTGTGACTATAAAATGTAAGTGGAATCTATTATTGCAACGTACCATTATCTCCTTTTTTCTTTTCACTATAACCCCACTTTATTTATAGCTCAGAGTCTACCTGTCCCTGTTACTAATGTAACAGCTACTCCAGGAACAACTACTGCTGCTATATCATTCATAATACCTAACATTGCCTATACACCTGAAACCTACAGTGTTAAGTATACTGGAGCAATCTTAGAAACAACAGAACAAACTTCAATCATAAGAATGAGCTCTGGTGACATCACTGCGATTAACCAAGAATTTATAATCATGTTGACTGGTCTTGAGGAAGATAACACTTATACATATACAGTTGATTCTACCAATTGTCTTGGTACTACTAGTACTGCAGAGATGATCTTCAGAACACTTCCAACATGTGAGTGAAAATTGATTGGTATCTCATTGTTATCCGTTTCAATTTTTAATTTTTTTATTCATTACAGTGCCAGTTGCTCCTCCAATGGATTGTGCTAATACAACATTCTTACCATATAATGTCACACTTACCTGGACTGAACCACCACTAGTAGATCAAAATGGAAAAGCAGTTGGTTATTATTTATTATGTACGGATACTAATGGTATATCAGTCAATGGATTGAGCCCAACACGATCTTCAACAAACACAATGTTCACTATTACTGATGTTATGCCTTTTACTGGTTACACTTGTTTTCTCGCGTTTATCAATGTAGTAGGAGAAGGACCCATTACCCAGTGTACTTTTGAAACAGCTCAAGATAGTAAGAATCAATAAAAATACCTTAATTTACATGTACATAATATGTTACGCTTACATTTATGTTATGCCTTTATTAGTACCAAATGACACTCCTCAGAATTTCACTTCAATACCTGATAAAACAGCAGTTACTTTTACATGGACTAAGCCAGCTACTCCTAATGGAGTAATCATTGAATATTCACTGAATGTCATCAATCAAGATGTGCCAAGAATGCATAACTATACATTACTTGCACCTGTCAATCAAACTACAGTCACACAATTAGTTGATGGTTTCAGTCCATATCAGAATTACACTGCTAGTGTTAGTGCTAGTACAATCATTGGAGCTGGACCAGTGGCTACTACTGGAGGAAGAACACTACCAGACAGTAAGTATATTATTATGATACATTTATTAAAATACAATACACAGTTCCTAGTTCACTTCATCTGGTAGTGTCTCCAGTTGTCATTAATAGTTTAACAGTAGCTTATACTGTACCAGTTCTTAATGAAACTACTATCAATATAACATGGAGCCCACCATCTCATTCTAATGGAGAAATCACTGGATTTATTGTTAGAATAGCTACTGATGCTATTACTAGTTCTGATGATGTTCCATTTGTACCTGGCAAAGCAGCTTGCTCATTTATATTTGGAGGATTAAGTTAGTATAATACTGATTTAATCTACATCATGTTCATATTTGTTACACTGCAGGGTCAAGGGTACCTTATTATGTATCAGTTGTTACAGTCAATCGAATTGGTGAGGGAAAGTCAGCAAATGCCATTGTCTTCACAAAAGCTGACAGTAAATTAAGACAAAAATATATATATTTTTTATTAAATGTTATTATATATGCAGGTAGTGTTACAGTATCACCATTAAATGTACAAACAATGAGAATAGGAAATACAATAGTGTTATCATGGGATCCAGTGACACTAGAAGAAGCTAAAGGATTCTTTGTATACAGTATCAGATTAACTCCTGATGATGGTAGCACTAGCAGTACATTAAGACAAACTAATACAAGAACTATATCAGTAGCTTATGATACCACATCAGTTAATATAACTGATACTGAACCACAGTTAGCTTATACTGTGAGTATTAGTGTATTGCTATTGAGCGATGTAGGACTAATTGAAGGACCAGCTGTGATTGTAGGTTAGTAAACATTTTTAAAATGACATTTTTACTTTTAATTGTTTATGCAGTATTTCCATCAAACATTACTGGTACTACTACCACTAGTAGTACTGATTCTACATTAAGTATTTCAGTGATATCAGCTACAGTTTCAGTCTTGATTATATTTGCTTTAGTGATGATCATTGTTAGTATCATTTGTGTAATAATTTATAAGAAAAAATGGAACAAGTATAATATAAGGTTAATTATGATATCATAATTATTAGTATGTATGTTTTAATGTGTATAATGATAGTAAAACTGATGACATTGATATAACACCTAATGCAGGATATGGTATGATCAAGAATCCAACCACAGGGTGAGTACATTACATAATATAATGCACAAGTGTTCCTTACATTTGTTAATATAGAAATGAAGATGGAGTCTATGAAAGAATGGGAGATGATCAGGTTTATGAACAATTAGATGAACCTAATCTGCTTGTTGCAAGAGAAAGTGCTGCTGACACTAGTAGTACAACATATGAAAATACTGCTACTAGTGTGGCTATTGCTACAGGTACCTGTACATGTACTGGTATATATCTTTGCTTAATATGTTTTTGTTGGTTAAAAGTATACTACTTTATATTAGATTCTAGCCTTCATGGTGAAGAAAACAATGAAAAGGTGTATGAGCTGACTGATACTGATTTATAATAATTCGTCATGCATTCATCACTCTTATTTTAGCAAGAAATTAATACATGCATTGTAGTGTGTATGTCAAGTAATAAACAGACTAAAGTATGTTGTGTATATTCTTAGTTTGCCTTTTGTAGTTAGCACACTATTTTTATCATTAATAATAAGGAGATTGAAATTTCACAGTATCATACATGTCAAGTTTTGTCTTAGTTAGTATCAAAATTATTTTGAATTAATTCAAAATAATTTTCGTAATAGTGCTTCAGGCTACTTAAAAATTTTGTTACATTATTGTAAGCCAGAAACTATTACTATATGCCACAATTGTATGCCTAGACAGTGCATGCCAAATGAGCTTTAATTTAAACCATTCCTCGTGATGAATATAAATATTTCCATATTTTTTCTCATGCATATACATGTACTTATGTTGTATAGAAAGTTTGAGTGGATTCCGATCAAGTTTGAATTTTTTTACAAATTTTTAGATTTGCTAAAAAATTGGACCAAAGTCCCTGTACTGTAGTACAGGGATTTTGGCCCATTTTCATCAAAAATAAAAAGGAGAGAATTTTACATTTTTATAATTTTTTTCTGATACATATACATGTACTTATGTTGTGTAGAAAGTTTGAGTGGATTCTGATCAAGTTTGGATTTTTTACAAATTTTTAGATTTGCTAAAAAATTTGGGCCAAAGCCCCTGTACTGTAGTACAGTAAAAAGGGAAAAAAGCCCTCAAAAAATTTATTATAGAAATAAAACATGTAGGTTAAGGAAAAGCAAAGCAAGGTTAAAAATAGGTAAGGTTAAGTTAGTGACACAAAAAAGGAAATGATAAGGAATAATAATAATAATAATAATTATTATTATTATTATTATTATAAAGCTAAAAAATGATTACAGGGATTTTGACCCATTTTCTTCAAAAATAAAAAAGAAAAGAATAAAAAAATTTTTTTGATGCATATACATGTACTTGATTTGCGTAAAAACTTTGAACAGATTCTAATTGAAATTAGATATTTTATGAATTTTAAAGTTGCTCAAAAATTATGAGTAATAGATCAGTAGCCATGATCAAGTGGAGGTGTATAATTACGTGCAGTTTCATCTCATAGCACCGAGTATTTATTGTAGTTTATGCATAAGCATCAATTGAGTTACAGAGTTGGACAAGGCTGCCCCAATGGCTACTGCCATGCATGCAAAAGCATTAAAGAATTGAAGCCCTTATATTGAGGAATTCTTTAGCACTTACTTTGCGGTATAGACATTGTTTTTAAGTTTACAAAAAACGATAATGTCACATGAGTCATTTATGAATATAATTAAATAATTATTAGTAAAAATAAATATTTCTTATACATTCATCACATTTATATCTTGTCATTGTCAATGGTACATGTTTTACATAAACTGTACATGTACACGTGAATAGTTTTTGATTTAAGACAAGACACTCCTACCTAACTATACTAACTGTCACAGGTATTTAACAAACCACACAGTTCCTCATTATTTTACTACTATGTTGATATTAGAAGCCTTTTATAAAGAATTGTGAACTGTGTAGATAAACTTACTCATAGATAACATAGTAATTGTAGTGTACATAGTAGTGTACATAGTAGTGTACATAGCGCATAAAGTACATAATTTACATGTACATGTAATAGTAATTGTGGTTTGACATACATGTATGTAACATTGTTCACATTCTCACTCTTTTCCTGTCCATCTGCTTTGTTCATTATTGTTTTGAGTTATACAAGAGTGCTAACTGTGTAACTATGGCTAATGAAGAATGCTTGTTTATGACAATAAGATTTATTGATTGGGCCTAAATGAAGATTGTCAACAAAGGGATAGCTTAGCTACAGACTTTAGCTACACCAAATTTGGTGCCTATACTATGCAACACTTTCTTAAAACAACAATTAGTATATAGAATGCCACAAAAAGAACAATTTACCTTTTATCATTGCAAGCTAGCTCAGCACAGACACATGTACATACATGTACACATACTCATACATGTACATGTATACACCAGCACCAACACACATACACTTCATTCATTGGCTAGTGTAGTATCATGAGACTCATTAGTGTCCTTCAATATTTTTGCATCATTCTAGTAGCAACAGTCAAAATGTTTTTCTTTACATTACTCAATGGTGACAGTGACCTTTTTAGTTATATTGTAATTTACTGTCTAACATGAGTCTTTTATAATTTTATTTGAACATACCCCATATTTGCTTTCTCCTGAGACAACTCATCTGTTATAATAACAATATCTCTATATAATATTAGTAACCACCCACACATAGGCTACTATTTTGCTTATTGGATAGTTTAGATGAACTTATAATGTCCTGGTTCTTTCTCTTGTCATTGGTACTTCATGTATCTGGTCAACCATTTTTTGGTTCACTACCTCCTCGTCCAACTACTGGTCAGTAGCCAGTACTAGTCTATGTGTATATACTATTAATGATATATTTAATAGGTGTAAGATTGTTTCTTGGTGAGGAGAATGTGACTACTGCTAATTTTTCAATGATAGCTGCTGGTCTGTTTCATGATAGAGATATAGATCAAGTTGATAATCATATTGGTACTGGTTCTTTTCCCGATGGTCAGAATGATGGTTTGTGGTGTCAGAGTTTTCTTAATCAGAATATGATAGGAACATGGTATTATCCTGATGGAACAACCGTACCACCTAATGGTTTGGCTGATGGCAATAATAATCCTTATCCTCTGTTTGCTAACAACACTGCTATTGGTCAAATTGGTTTGTTAAGAAATGGAGGAATAGCAAGTGTTCAAGGACTATACAGTTGTGTTATACCAAATGAAGAAGGAATTGATCAGACGCTGTATGTTGCTGCTTATGGTAATGATAATTTTCTTAAAACTGATGGTAAGCTTAAAATATTAGAATACTTTCATTCAGTTTTCTCATTGTACAGAACTTCCAATGATTGATGGTAGTGGTCCCTCCTTCCAGCTCTTCTCATCAGTTGATGCTGATCCTCCAGTGTTTAGTTTATCATTTAATGTCACTAATAGATCACCAACAATAGTCACTTGCTCTGTTGATAATGGAAACCAGTTTAATGCATCTGATAATGATCTGATACGTACTGTAACACCAGTTAATAATGATGTACAAGTACAAGTATCAGTAATATTTAGAATGAGAGTGTCTGGCCTGTATAAATGTTCTGTTACTACTAACAGAATTATAATTACACCTTTAGCATCTACTAATATGACAATAAGGAATGTTACTGGTAAGTATAGACACACCATAATTAAATGATATCTTTTTTCTAAAGTAACTGGATCTCCATCAAACTTGACCTACAATAGAAATAGTCTTCTCTCAGTTACACTAGGCTGGTCTCCCTCAGCAGTGATTAGTGCTACTCCTCAGTATCATGTCTTTGTTAATAACAGTAATGGTATTATTATGAATGACAACACTACAAATACTGAGCTGTCTCTCTCATTACCTCCTGATGATGAATATAATATTAGACTAGTAGCTACTGGTGAAGACTTACCTAGTGAAATGATCACTGTTATTCTTCCTCAAGGTATGATGTAGCTACTAATGCATTTTAATAATAAATCTTTTCAGTTGTCAGTATTGACGTACAAGGGCCAGTTATGATACCATTAGATCATTCTTCTTCCTTTTCATTAACCTGTACATTGACATTAGCTCCTGAAGTGAATGATGCTATGTTAAAAATGTATTGGGCAAGTCCTGATCTCATTCCATTCAATTCTACAACTGATGGAGGCATAGTTTTGAATACTTTAGAGCCTACAATGATATCAGTTAATGATAGTGTTGTATATGCACTTACTCTTAACTTCAGTTCATTGCAAGCATCACAAGTTGGAGAATATGTTTGTGGAGCTTCACTGAATGATGGTAATGATACTGTGAGTGTAATGTCAAATTATTCTGTATCTGTACAAGGTAAGAATTTATGATTAATTTTATAATATTTTATATCTTTGGTTAATACAATGTAGTACCTACTCCTATGGTCATAGCTAGTTTCAATACAACAGGATGTATTTTTGAGAGCAATGACATTCAGTTATTATGTACTGTCACTATTACTCCACTGGATGTTAATCATACTGTTGACATTAACTGGTTTGGACCTAATGGACTCATTACAATGAATGATACTAAGTATAGCATTAGTACTGGAGAGATCAATTCGATGACTACTGAAAGTAGCTTAACATTCACTGCATCTTTATCAGATAATGGAACTGATTACTATTGTACTGCTAGTGTTGGACCTGCTAATAATGTAAATGGATTTGAGCTGATAATACCATCAGATACTGCTATATCAACTAGCACTACTGTTATGGTGGAAAGTAAGTTATTCCAAAATAGTACAAAATTCAATTTTTTCTCTTTTAGTTGTACCATTACCAACAGCATTAATTGATGATAGTAGTATTCCAGTGACTGGAGGTTCATTCCAGTTAGTGTGTACTGGAACTGCACCAGCTAATGTATCAAGTATTGCTAGTGTTAGTGTTCAATGGCTTCTTAATGGTACCGTGTTTACTAATGATACACTGGAAGGAGTCACTGTTACTAATAGTGGGTCTATGGCCACATTATCATTCAGTTCTCTTAATGCTTCTACTCATGAAAGAGATGATTATACTTGTAAAGCTACTCTTAGTATTCCTGATGTACCAACAACTAAAACAGCAAGTGCTACTAATAACCTCTTGACATTAAGTAAGTATGCAATCATATCAATTAAACCATTTCTTATTTTTAGCTGATCCTCTTGTGTCTATATATCCAAGTCAGCCTGTGTTTGCTGGTCAAGTATATTCACTAAACTGTACTGTGTCTGTAAAAGTTGGAAGTCTCAATATAACATGGCTTGACAACAATGGAAATGATTTGGTAGAAGAAAGTGGAATTGGTCTTTATTTAGTTACTATTTCTGAGACTGTTCAAAGATATGACTTGATTTTTAATTCACTTGACTATTCAGATATTGGAGTATACACTTGTAAAGCTTGTGTTACTGTCGAAAGAGGTCAGGTTACCTTTAATAGAAATGGATCTGCTAATACAACTGTTGATATAATTAGTAAGTTAGATGTATGTGAATTTATTATTTTATTACTTGATTTCTGTATTTCTATAGTACCTGTACCACTAGTATCTATATCTCCTGACAATGAATCTCCTTTTATTCATGGAACTGTTAGAACTGTTAGCTGTTCTGTTGTTTTCACTCCTCCTTTACCTACTAGATCTAATCCTAATGTCTCATTTACTGTCTTCAAAGATAATAAACAAGTGCCACTTGTGAACAGTTCCAGAGTAATAGCAGTTCAGACTGGAACTACTGGTGCTCTTACCTTTCAACCACTCAATTTCTCTGATGCTGGCAACTATACATGTACTGCTACAGCTAGAGATAGTGCTAATAATCCATTAATATTACCAAGCAGTGCTTCTGATGAATATATTGCTACTGTACAAGGTAATGTAGTGTAGCATAAAATACAAAATGATCATTTTACTATTACTTTAGCCATTCCTGTTCCTAATATTACATTGACTACTACTACTGGTAGATCACTGGGAGAGAGTTTAACTCTTAATTGTACA